AATGCATTTGTTCATATGAAAGGTTTGAGTGTGTAGTTACCGTGGTGACGCCTGGATCATGAAGAGGTGCTGCATTCGTACTGAAGTGAGCCCGTTTAGCAGGTCACGCACGTCTGCCAGCATGGCCTCCACACGCTCGGGAGTCTGGGCCTGAATCACTGAGGGAGCGAGCTGGAACTGACTCATGGTCACCAAGTCACCTTCTTCACGCATCTCACTGAGCCGCTGACACAGGAACATTTCCAACTGACCCACAGAAACACAGAAAAAGAGTTTGGTTTGGGTGAGGACTAAAGTTTCTGTCTAATACTTGTAACAATGAGCTGTTGTACCTCCTTCAGCTCATTGATGAACTGGCCACGTGTCTGTGAGTTTTCTAGAAGAGAAAGCGCATCTTCACCTCTGGCAACACCATCAGGACCTGCAAAAGTAAAATTATTCAGCACCATACCCAGACCCAGATGAAATCTGCAGACTCTGGAGTTGCGCATTATGCACGCTGATTATAATGTGTATTTACAGAATGGATATAAATGTTTAAAATACGATTATGTGTGCCTGTCTGTAATTCTATCCTTTTACCAAATTGCAGATCTCACATTAAAATAATTAGCTCTTGGTGATATTTTTGATTATTTTATTTTTTTTATGCTTTTAAAATAAATAATTTATGCCCATGAATGCTGCATTTATTTGATGAAAAATACAGCAAAATGTAAAATATAACACTTTAAAGGAGCTTTTCTATTTTAATATATTTAAAAATATACATTTGTGGTGCATCAGTCTTTTTGTGTTGTGTCCTTTGGAAATCACTCTTAAAAAACAGTGCTTCATATATATATACAGTGGGTACGGAAAGTATTCCGACCTCCTTAAATTTTTCACTCTTTGTTATATTGCAGCCATTTGCTAAAATCATTTAAGTTAATTTTTTTTTCCTCATTAATGTACACACTTAATGCATCCTGAATAAAAATATTATTGACCCCAAACTTTTGAAAAGCAGTGTAAATGTATAACAAATTCTTAATGTTAAGTACAGTTATCAACATTTAATTTCAGTAAATCCCAACACACTTACAGTCTGTGCCAACATCCACAATTTCAATTTCCACAGGTGTTAATTCAGAGGCTCCCCAGTCAATACCACCAGCACTGGTTTCCTGAAGTTGATTGGTAGACTGTTTTAATTCTGTTTCAAAATGAGATAACCAAAGATTTTACATTTGTGCTAAATATTTAAGGCTCTTACCTCTGTGCCAATCTCGGGACTAATACCCACACCATCCTCAACAGAGATCCCAAAATTCACCTCTTCAGTATCAGCGCCATCGCCGAGGTCACCCCAGTCAATCTGCACAAAACAAGAATGATAGACAGACGCTCTAAACTCAACTCATGGAGTCATATTAATCACACTTACAGTCTCCTCTGTGACAACATCAGGTGGGGCTTCCTCCATTACAGGTCTCTCTACAACTGTGGGCACATTTCCTGTCTTCCACTCATATACAGTTGTGTTTCCTTTCTTCTGGACAAATCTTAGAATGGGCAGTGCTTCTTCAGACCTAAAAAAAATGTAAAATTGCACTTAGACGAACATCATATAAGGTTTATGTTGGAGTTAAATCACAGCATGATTTCAGGTGTCTAAAGGTCAATCAATGCAGCATTAGAAACGACAAGAAGTCACACTCACCAATCACTAACAAAGTTTATGAAGGCTTCGTAAAATTTTATAGCTTCATCCAGACAGGCAGCTTTTTTACCAGTTTCTTCCAAAACTACAGGCAGATCCTTAACGAGTGCTTGTAACTCCCTTGCCACATTTTCCCCCTGTGAAATATTATAGGTTAGTATCGGTAATCAGCATCAAACGATGTAAAATACATTGTAATTATTTGTTGTCTAACCTGAATCCCATACTGTTTACAGGCAGCATAATAGCGTTCCCTCATGTCAGTGGCACCGCTCTGACACTCCAGTTCTCTTCGGCTCAACTCCTGCTGCAGCTGCTGAGCTTTAGACACCTGCTTCCTCAAAGCAGGACCTTCATAACTTACACTACGAATCAATATACTGGCCACTTCAGCTGGGGTTAAAAACACACATACACACAATCATGTCACTGTGTTTGTGTAACTTTAAAAAAATGGCTTAAATAATTAAATGATGATTGTTTACCTAAATAGACATTGTCTTTTTCATACAGGGACACTATTTCTTGCCAATCCTGTTGACAAAAAAAAAAAATATAGTATATTATTTTTACTACATACAGCAATAAATTACACATTAAAAGAATAATAAACAGCAGAGAGACGCATCATCACCTTCATCCTTTGTGATGAATATCTGCCAAAAATATTTTTGGTGGACGCTTCTGTTCCTTTTAATATTTCGATTATTCGTAAGCAATGGAAATAGTGAATATCTGCAAAAGGAACAATGTATGAGTAATCACATTCAAACAAAAAGAAGTATGTTTGTATTATTATCATGTTTTTTTTATTTTATTTTACATGAGCCAGAGAGCAGTTGTTTGATCTCCTCATTCTCTGGCATATCCTGAATGGCAGCATTGATTTTCTCTCGAATTGTCATCACTGCACTTTGCCATCTCAGCGTGCAGTGCCTCCGGTCCACCAGCCAGTCTGAATGATGGAGACAAAAGCAAAATATTAAATAGATCTTTGTGCAAGATCTAAACTACTGTGTATAGAAGTCAAGCTACAGCACTTCAAACCATATGTATAAGAATTGTGTATGCATAAATGACTGTAAAACTGTCTTACCTAAGAGTTTACTGGTTTGGATGTCAATTGGGACATTCTGGATGTTCTGTTAAAACAGATTTTTATAACAAAGGTAAATTATACACACTGTAATAACACTCACGTCAACTTTTTGCACATTATTATGGTCTTATAATCTTAACGAAAAGATATAAGCCAAGTAAATAATTCAGGCTTTATATGAATAAAAACACAGAAGTATGCATTGATGCACAATAATACTCTTTGAACTGATTATTGATAGCTTGTCAATGTCTATAAGCATGTTCACGTTTCTTTACACAGGGAGAGCAAGACTTAAAAAACGGCGACACTTAATTTTAACCAAATAATGTTTTGTTTTACCTCCATTGCAATCGTGGTTGTCGTTATTTTGATAAAATAATACCTAAAGCTACTCCATGCCTGTAAATAAAACCGATGAGATATAGCTCAAGTTTACAATTTCCACTGACACGTACATACAAAACTGACCAGTCAGCACACGCGACACTGCTGGGTCTCACGCGCCGCCTGCTGAAACACCAATGAACTACACGAATAGAAGAACCGTTAATCACTTCCTTGTAACGTCAAAATAAAAGTCACTAGAAATTGCTTGCAACAAAGTGACCTTAATTTTCCTCTTACAGTTATGTATTTTCCGTGAACTCAAACGTATCTGAAATTCACTGTAAATTGATTTAAAAAAAAAAATCGATAAATGTACGGGAATCTTAATACACGCTTTCAGATGTTGTGGATACTCAGCTAATTTTATTTCATAAAATTAAGATGGTTCAAAAATGTTGATTATTAATAATTTAACAATTAATTATAAGTATATCCATGTAATAGACGTTTATATATTAATAAATAATAATTATTTATCACTACGCGTTCTTTATATCTTAATACGTTGTATTTTATCACACTGTTTTCCATAATTACGAATCTGGTAATAAAAAGTTATTTATATCTTATTTCAAAAAGCTGTAAATTCAACACATTATTATTTTTTTCAGAAAAGTTCCTTCAATGCAACGGCAAATCTCAAACTATTAAATGGTTTTTGATCATTTGTAGACTATTTATTTTTCTTATTATGGTACTTTTCGTATATATACAAAGGAAGAAAAAGATACATTAATTTGCTTACTTTTCAAAAAGGTAAACGCATATCTTCTATATCTATATCTATCAATAAAGTATCGCTTTTTATTTCTCCTCTTTCCTACTACTTGTTTCACTTCTGTTTCAGTTTTTATAACCATTTCTTACTATGTGTAAGTAAGTTGTTGTTTTCCGTTGACTGAGTGACAAACAGCAGAAGTGGTATGTCCACTAGATGGCGCGATTTCCTTTAAAAGAAATAGTGTGACATATTACATTGTTTCGTACTTATAAGCAGGGCTGGCAATAACAACAAGAAATAGTCATTTTACATTTTCTTGCACCATATGCATTGCATTTGTGCTTCCTTTCTATTGTGCTGCTTGCATAATTCATAAAATATTTCAACTCGCACTTTATGTGGACATAAATTTATGGTAAATATCCTGCTCTTTTCTCAGTTTTATTTGAACAAGGTGGTTTTATAGATTTTCTGTTTGCCGGATCACAACACTCCTTATCTAAGTGTCTGCCAAAGGGACTTTGGCTGTAAATATGACTGCAGGTGTCTCAGGTGTTTCCAACAAGAGGCTCCTCCCGTCGTACAGTTGACAGAAATATCTATTTCTTCTTCTGTTTTCTGACAGAGCAGATTAAAATCAGCAAAGAAACAAAGCAGAAAGTTTGAAATAAAGGTCAGTATGACACTATTATGCAATGTTAAAATCAAAGATAGGATTGTAGTTCTGCTTCTTAAAGTTAGGATATCTTGGGCAACTCCAGTAACACTACACTTAATACACAGGAGAGGCCTTTGAAAAGAAACTTGCATTGTACTCCAGAGAACTTTTAATCACTCCAAAGACCATCTCAGCACCTTGCTGAGAGCAGAAATCAGAATTGTAATCCTAAATCGGTTAAACTCTTTTATAGTCTTGTGAAGCACAATGGCTGTAACAGTTAAAGGGAACCATATAGGCAATGCTTTATTTTCATATTTTTTGAATGACATTCAAACCTGCTCCTATCTCAGCTGGGGATCCAGTATCAGTCTGTGATTTCCCCACATTATGCAAATGTGGGCATCATCTGTCTGGTGGCCTTGCGAAATTAAACATCAGAGGTGAAATTGTGAACAAGCTCAGGTGGAAAGCGTCTACTAGTTTCTTCTGAAACTACAGGCAGATCTTTAACTAGAGCTTGTAACTCCCTTGCCACATTTTCCTCCTGTGAAATATTATAGGTAAGTATCAGTAATCACCATCAAACGATGTAAAATAAATTGTAATTGTTGTCTAACCTTTATCCCAAACTGTTTACAGGCAGCATAATAGCGTTCCCTCATGTCAGTGGCACCGCTCTGACACTCCAGTTCTCTTCGGCTCAACTCCTGCTGCAGCTGCTGAGCTTTAGACACCTGCTTCCTCAAAGCAGGACCTTCATAACTTACACTACGAATCAATATACTGGCCACTTCAGCTGGGGTTAAAAACACACATACACACAATCATGTCACTGTGTTTGTGTAACTTTAAAAAAATGGCTTAAATAATTAAATGATGATTGTTTACCTAAATAGACATTGTCTTTTTCATACAGGGACACTATTTCTTGCCAATCCTGTTGACAAAAAAAAAAAATATAGTATATTATTTTTACTACATACAGCAATAAATTACACATTAAAAGAATAATAAACAGCAGAGAGACGCATCATCACCTTCATCCTTTGTGATGAATATCTGCCAAAAATATTTTTGGTGGACGCTTCTGTTCCTTTTAATATTTCGATTATTCGTAAGCAATGGAAATAGTGAATATCTGCAAAAGGAACAATGTATGAGTAATCACATTCAAACAAAAAGAAGTATGTTTGTATTATTATCATGTTTTTTTTATTTTATTTTACATGAGCCAGAGAGCAGTTGTTTGATCTCCTCATTCTCTGGCATATCCTGAATGGCAGCATTGATTTTCTCTCGAATTGTCATCACTGCACTTTGCCATCTCAGCGTGCAGTGCCTCCGGTCCACCAGCCAGTCTGAATGATGGAGACAAAAGCAAAATATTAAATAGATCTTTGTGCAAGATCTAAACTACTGTGTATAGAAGTCAAGCTACAGCACTTCAAACCATATGTATAAGAATTGTGTATGCATAAATGACTGTAAAACTGTCTTACCTAAGAGTTTACTGGTTTGGATGTCAATTGGGACATTCTGGATGTTCTGTTAAAACAGATTTTTATAACAAAGGTAAATTATACACACTGTAATAACACTCACGTCAACTTTTTGCACATTATTATGGTCTTATAATCTTAACGAAAAGATATAAGCCAAGTAAATAATTCAGGCTTTATATGAATAAAAACACAGAAGTATGCATTGATGCACAATAATACTCTTTGAACTGATTATTGATAGCTTGTCAATGTCTATAAGCATGTTCACGTTTCTTTACACAGGGAGAGCAAGACTTAAAAAACGGCGACACTTAATTTTAACCAAATAATGTTTTGTTTTACCTCCATTGCAATCGTGGTTGTCGTTATTTTGATAAAATAATACCTAAAGCTACTCCATGCCTGTAAATAAAACCGATGAGATATAGCTCAAGTTTACAATTTCCACTGACACGTACATACAAAACTGACCAGTCAGCACACGCGACACTGCTGGGTCTCACGCGCCGCCTGCTGAAACACCAATGAACTACACGAATAGAAGAACCGTTAATCACTTCCTTGTAACGTCAAAATAAAAGTCACTAGAAATTGCTTGCAACAAAGTGACCTTAATTTTCCTCTTACAGTTATGTATTTTCCGTGAACTCAAACGTATCTGAAATTCACTGTAAATTGATTTAAAAAAAAAAATCGATAAATGTACGGGAATCTTAATACACGCTTTCAGATGTTGTGGATACTCAGCTAATTTTATTTCATAAAATTAAGATGGTTCAAAAATGTTGATTATTAATAATTTAACAATTAATTATAAGTATATCCATGTAATAGACGTTTATATATTAATAAATAATAATTATTTATCACTACGCGTTCTTTATATCTTAATACGTTGTATTTTATCACACTGTTTTCCATAATTACGAATCTGGTAATAAAAAGTTATTTATATCTTATTTCAAAAAGCTGTAAATTCAACACATTATTATTTTTTTCAGAAAAGTTCCTTCAATGCAACGGCAAATCTCAAACTATTAAATGGTTTTTGATCATTTGTAGACTATTTATTTTTCTTATTATGGTACTTTTCGTATATATACAAAGGAAGAAAAAGATACATTAATTTGCTTACTTTTCAAAAAGGTAAACGCATATCTTCTATATCTATATCTATCAATAAAGTATCGCTTTTTATTTCTCCTCTTTCCTACTACTTGTTTCACTTCTGTTTCAGTTTTTATAACCATTTCTTACTATGTGTAAGTAAGTTGTTGTTTTCCGTTGACTGAGTGACAAACAGCAGAAGTGGTATGTCCACTAGATGGCGCGATTTCCTTTAAAAGAAATAGTGTGACATATTACATTGTTTCGTACTTATAAGCAGGGCTGGCAATAACAACAAGAAATAGTCATTTTACATGTTCTTGCACCATATGCATTGCATTTGTGCTTCCTTTCTATTGTGCTGCTTGCATAATTCATAAAATATTTCAACTCGCACTTTATGTGGACATAAATTTATGGTAAATATCCTGCTCTTTTCTCAGTTTTATTTGAACAAGGTGGTTTTATAGATTTTCTGTTTGCCGGATCACAACACTCCTTATCTAAGTGTCTGCCAAAGGGACTTTGGCTGTAAATATGACTGCAGGTGTCTCAGGTGTTTCCAACAAGAGGCTCCTCCCGTCGTACAGTTGACAGAAATATCTATTTCTTCTTCTGTTTTCTGACAGAGCAGATTAAAATCAGCAAAGAAACAAAGCAGAAAGTTTGAAATAAAGGTCAGTATGACACTATTATGCAATGTTAAAATCAAAGATAGGATTGTAGTTCTGCTTCTTAAAGTTAGGATATCTTGGGCAACTCCAGTAACACTACACTTAATACACAGGAGAGGCCTTTGAAAAGAAACTTGCATTGTACTCCAGAGAACTTTTAATCACTCCAAAGACCATCTCAGCACCTTGCTGAGAGCAGAAATCAGAATTGTAATCCTAAATCGGTTAAACTCTTTTATAGTCTTGTGAAGCACAATGGCTGTAACAGTTAAAGGGAACCATATAGGCAATGCTTTATTTTCATATTTTTTGAATGACATTCAAACCTGCTCCTATCTCAGCTGGGGATCCAGTATCAGTCTGTGATTTCCCCACATTATGCAAATGTGGGCATCATCTGTCTGGTGGCCTTGCGAAATTAAACATCAGAGGTGAAATTGTGAACAAGCTCAGGTGGAAAGCGTCCTTCTGTTGTTAAAACCCCCTACAATCCGAAAAAATCCTTTATATGTAAAAACCATATTCAAGAATGCAAACTATGTGTGAATACAAACCACTGACTTTTGCATTTGCAGTATGAAACTAAACCAGAGCAAACACAAACAATTATATTTTCTTTGTCAAAAGGTTTAACTGTAGACATGCATTTGCAAATACAAAGTAAAAATTCACAAAATGTATTGTGTGTGGAAGTACGCTGTGTGAGATATTTTATATCACATATAATACTATGGTTATGTATGTGTGTGTGTTTATTAATATGTCTATATAGTTTTTATTATTTTTTATATTTCAGTTTTAGTTATTGTAGTTCCATTCAAGTCAAAATTAAGCTAAATGAAAATGAGAAATGTTGCTTTGGAAATTAGCTAAAATATAATTTTTTAAAAAGTTTTTTTTATATATTTTATTTCGATTTATTTTATTTCAAGTTTTTTTTTGATGGTTTTAGTTAACTATAATAACCCATATAATATCTCATATAATTGCCTTTTATTTTCATAGACAATAACTTTTATGAATTTTTACTTTGCACTTTGTAGTATGCTCTAGAGTCTAGACAGACAGACAGACAGACAGACAGATAGATAGATAGATAGATAGATAGATATAAATGATAGATAGATAGATAGATAGATACATAGGCTGCATTTATTTACTGATACAGTTTCTCTGCAGTCCATCTTGATTTGGTAAGGTGAGCACCTTTTTGGTTGACCATGCAAATGTTAAACCAACTTCTCGCTCCCATGAGGTCGTTCACTCGGATTGCCCTCCCTCTTTCGATCACATGGCTGTAACATTTACTCATGTTGCATTGGGTTGGACCTAATGTTCAACTTGGACTGAAACAGTGTGTTTGTGTGAGGCTATAGGCTGCTGTCTGAGCAGGAGAGGGAGATAAAACAAGACTGATAAAGAGAGAGGGAGTAAGGGAGGGACCAAGAGAGAGGAAGGGGGAAAGAGAACACCTGTAGCATAAGACACTGCACTCAAAGCAGACATTCAGTAGGGAGATTAATTAAGAGAAGGGGAAGCAAAAAGGTGAGAAGGTATTAGCAGCTCTCAGCAGACTGAACTTGAGCGGTAAAGTGAAGTTACTAAGTGAACACAGGGGGCAAGGCTGTCAATGCGACAATGGTTTAACTTCTTCTGGACACCTGTTCTTCTGAACCAAGAGCACTTTTGAAAGAAGTGAACACATCTTGTCAGGTGAGAACTGATCACTTGCTCCTTTTTGTGTTTTGAAGTGAATTTGTTAAAATATTGTTTGTGAACATGCATTTGTTCTTGTATTTCTTCAAGATGCCCCTTTTTTTTTTTGCATATACAAGAACATTAGAGTTCACATTCTTAATTTGACTGATTTAGTTTAAAAAACGCATGAGGATTTTTTAAAACTTAAATTAAATGCAGAAAACATTATTTAAAAATAACAAAATAAAATAAGATAAAATAAAAATAAAAAAAATAAAATGTAATGAAATAAAACTAAATATGAAGTTAGCAAAAAAGATCAAATGAAATATTAAAAAAGTCTTAGAAAATCGTACAATATAGAAAAACATATATACATATTATATATAGAAAAAATAAAATGATGAAATTATAAAAACTATATAGACATTTTAAAAACAGTCCTGATAAAAATGACAAAAACGCACAACAAAATTACTCAAATTTAACTGAAATTTACATGAAAACTGAATATATAAAAACAAATTCAAAACATTGAATAAAAACTATAATAGTATCGATGTGATACTAAAGTAGTAACACTGGTCTTAACCATTTAACAATGAAAAATGAATTTAAAATCAAATGAACAAACATGAGTAGTTTTGGACACAGATGAGAGGACTTTGAACTTGTGTTCATTAATCATGAATTCTCCTAACAGAGCCCGTTATGAACAAATGCTCTATGAAGGCCTCTCTTGAGAGGCTGTAGGCTACATAGGAAGCTTGATATGGTATGTTACAGGCCCAGAAGAGAGAGAAGTAGCATTCAGGACACAAACGGCAGCAGTATGATGTCCAGGCCTAGACTTGCAGGCAAACTTGACACCCTCCATGACTGCTCTGAATACGGCAGGGCCTGGCTGCCCTTGAGTTAACCTCTCCTCTCCTCAAACATTTGTATCACCGGGAAGGCTTTGAACTTGGTTAGTGATTTCCTAGGTTTAGACAGGCACAGTGTACTCTCCCTGTGATCTCTGAAGTACTTAGTGCTGCTCAGTCACACAAGGAGGAAAACAAAGTAACTTATTATCTAGCTCTAAGGATACCTCCTGAGTATCAGAACGTCTTGTAGAAGGTCAGGTGACTTTTCAAGAAACTGCTGCAAAAGATTTGTACTTTTTTGAAAATATTTAAGAAAAATAATTCAATATATGAATAAAATATGGCTATTATTTAAATTTTTTTTTCTATTTTTATAGATTTTTTTTGTCATTTTAATAGTGCAAGAATAAAAAAAAAATTCCCTAGCTGGTCTGAAATTTTTTTAAGTAACATTCTGTAAAGCACATCCAGTCTGGCACATATCAGTATGCAGGCTGTGACTCACAATTCAACATAAACAAGTCATAATCAATAAGCATGAACAATAAAACCATAAATTAACCTTCACACCACCCTAGCTGAGGCACCTGACTCTCCCAGGATTAAACTTTACAGTCATTTTCAGAGTGCAATAAGATCTCCTCTAATGACATCTACAGTCTACTTGGCTACAATAAACTAAGTGCAATCAAGGTGAAAGAGTAGTAGCTGCTTCAAAAAGTGACTGAATCCTGTCATTATGTAATTGTAGAAGATCAGTGACAAATCCAGTGGAGAGTCTCTGTTTCCCCATAAAATGGCCATATTCCCTTGTGTTAGAAATGCCTTCTCATTTTGTAAACACTGCGACATTACATGAAAATGTTTGATGTGTTGCATTAAGGCTGTTGTTTTTGTCTCAGAACCTTTATGGTAGTGGTTTCAATGACCTCCAAATAGGATGATCTCCTTGCAAGGGACCTCCTTTCTAAAAATGCATCAATATTTTTTACTGTATAAGGCGTGAGCACTTTGTAAAAACATGTTTTTGCAGAGTTAAATATAACTGGCTTTTAATACTGCTATTTTAGCGAGGACAAAAATATTTTAAATGTTAATTTTTTTTTTCTACTCAGATAATGCCAGGTGTTTCAATTCAGTTTCAAATGATTTTTTTTTATATTGCATTTTACACAATAAATATTGTTCCAAAGCAGTTTTGCAAGGAGAATAAAACTTACAACCCCCAATAATCAATATATGCTAGAATGATACAAAGTGCAAACGATTAATTTTTTTTTCTACTCTGATAATGCCAGGTGTTTCAATTCAGTTTCAAATGATTTTTTTTTTCATATTGCATTTTACACAATAAATATTGTTCCAAAGCAGTTTTGCAAGGAGAATAAAACTTACAACCCCCAATAATCAATATATGCTAGAATGATACAAAGTGCAAACGATTATTTTAAACACAATTCTTTTAAAATGATGTAGTTTTGAAATAAATAAATATGTACACTTACAAAACATATATTAAATAAATATTCAGATAGATAGATAGATAGATAGATAGTCTACCAAAATGCTTTTCATTGCTAAAACTCATCTAATATTTTTGGCCTGATCTCTAAATCTAAATCCAATTTCTTTATTTGACCAAAAATGAATTGCACCCGGAAGTCAGAAAGGAGCTTGTCACGTTTTAGTGGAATTCGCCATAAAAAGTACATTCACATGGAGACACTGCCTTGTTTCATGCGTGAACCCTCTATGACTGAACAATATTCTACCAATATATTGGGTGGCAACGGCCAAGTGAAGGGTGTGTTTACTAGTGCCTTCTAAAGATCACTTCAGGTCTGATACTTAAAATCTTATCGCACACCAATGCTATAAAACCTGCTGCATTCGCTGGAAGACCCATCACGTGTTCATTGATACATTGATACATTCCATTTAGCGATGACTATGACAATGCTGTTAAGGTACCAGATGACACACCCTAGTGTGATACCAGCCATACACATTATTATTACCAGGTGTGTGAGTCTCCAGTGTTTACACTGGTTGCTATCACATGGGTAAATCATTGTACATCCTTTGTGATGTGTACAATAGCTATATACAGTTTGTCCAATATTACATAACAAATGATACTCTATCAGTGTAGGACGAAATACTAAGCTATCCATCAAGGAGCTGTTCAAGTGTCTTGGTTCACGCAATGTTATTTTGGTGCATCTCAGATCTCAAGGGAGTGACAGGGGATCCAGTGGTGCTGTTCATTAATTAAACAGCTGAGCAGCAGAGTCAGGTGTCCTCTTGTTATTCTAATCTAATTATTGGATGAGGAGACACACATATTACCTCAGAGAGAACTAGTGTTGCTGCTTACAATGTGCTAAAGTATGCAAATGAGCCTTTATGATAATGTTCTAATATGTTTTTGTATCCATAAAAGCACATCCTAGGGCAAAACCCATCTGTGTGTTGGTGATAAATGCATGAGTCTTATGCTATGGACTGGAGAATTAAGCAGCTTGCAGACTCACTGTTAAATTATGAGTTGGAATCTGTATTTTGAAACATTACTCAGTATCTTTCATCTACCTAACAAATCTGCATTGGTGTTACAGGTCTACTTTGCTATCTTCCCTTCGCACCTGTCATGGCCGACCCTGCCTGGTGGAAGCTCACCTTCCTGAGGAAAAAGAAGTCAGAGCCAAAGGTCCTGTATGAAATACCACCCGACTTCAGCACCAACAATGCGAAAAAAGACCTGGGCAACGACGACGCAGACAGCGATTTAGACGCCAGACTGGAAAAAATAGTGGATAAATCTGCCACTAAGGGCCGTCATGTAAAAGTCTCCCATTCTGGGCGGTTTAAAGAGAAGAAGAAGATTCGCGCGACTCTGGCGGAAAACCCGAGCCTTTTCCCCGAACCTGCTCGGACTGACAAGAGCCATGTGGAAAAATAACTTCCAGACGAAGCACACAGTTTGCAGCCTGTTTATACATATATACTAATTTTTACTCATTCTTATTTGAAAGGCTGCATGTTGAGTGGAGTTACCACTGACGCAGCGAAGATACTGGAACAGAAAATTATTATTTTTTACCGGCCATACTTTAATTGAAAAGCAACCCCAAGATGATTATTAAGGGGTTAATGTTTCCTGTAAATCATAAACACAATATTGTAATGCTCATAAAATGTTTTATTATCACTGTGGGAAAAACCTGACAAGGAAGACACAGAAACTTTATCCAACTCTCATTTATAAATCACACAATCCGTTAATTTTGTGGCGAATGGTCATAAAAATGTACATTATTGTGTAATAACTAATCTCAAACCTGTGGGAAACAGACTGTTGTTCAGGTTGCAATTTGATGTGCCCTTCGATTAGCACTTGATCATGTGTTTTTTATGTTGTTTTTTGTGGTTGTGGACGCTCAGTTGTGCATATCTCTGATTTGATCATTTGTCATAAAAAGGGTTGTAATTAGGGCAAGGACAGTCAAAAGTCACAGCACGTTAGAAATAGGTTCTCCACAACTACAGCTTTAATTTGTCGTTTAATTTGTACTTGTCCATTGTTTACTGAGGTCTTTAACGGTTATTGTTAGAATATGCAAAATAAAGATTTTTATTGCATTTCTGAGATGTGTTAAATTGTGGAGAAGTACAAACAGTTGTTTGAACGCCACCGCCATCTGCTGGCAAAAAAGCACAATGAGCATCGCTGCAAAAATTAAACAGGTTTATTACTGTATATTTACAAGAAAAAGTCACCATCCATTACAGAATTACAGCCAAATTCAGACAGTTATTTTAGATCAACATTACATTTGGCACATTTATTAACACACAATCTAATCATATTTCACATTTGTCTTGTAGAATATTTTGTTGTTTATCATTAACACATTTATAGATGTGCACAGAAGTCCAAAATCTATGTTTTCTGAAACTACAATTAAGGCTGCAAGTACAGCTGTGCTTTTTTAATTATTAATAAACATCAGGCAGTCAACAGACTTTGCACTTACAAGTAGTAGATTAAGAACGTGTTGAGGTCAGTCTTGAAGGCTTAAAAATGCTGCAACGAAGCACCATTTCGTAATGCAACATGATTTATATTCATAAAATCATGTATGCAGTTATCAACATAAATCTCCCTTCTGGTTTTGGTTAAGATGATACGAATGCAGGACGAATATGGAATGATAAGTCTTCACTAGTCAGTTGATGCCCTGGTGGCATTATTTGCGACAGTCGCTGTCAAGTAATGATGATGTATTGATGTCACAGACGGTGATGTTGATTTCACAGCATGTCCTCTATTAGGGGGATAAGCGTTGGTATATCCAGCCTCCCTCAGCTTGATGCTGCATATCCCCCAGCTCAGTCTCTCCCTCTTTTGGCCGCAAAAAGACTATTCGGTCATGTAATCTATTGGTCTGACCCTGCCAGAACTCAATCAGGTGGGGTTTTACAATGTATCCACCCCTGCGAAAAAATATATATCCATAAAAATAAATGAAACTAAAATATAACTGTCTACATACAAACACAGACAGGGATATGATATTAATAAACAAAAATTACTCACCAGTAATCTGGCATTGGTACATTAGTGTTCTTATACTTTTCCTCAAGCTCTGCATTCTTGTCTCTCAGGTACTTTAAGGGGGACACACAACAAATTATTAATAAATCAGGTGTTGCACCATACCAGGAAAATAATTAACATTAATCGTGTATAATTATCATTATGAGTGTTTGGCTGAATGCTGAAGTTGATTGTGGCTGTGTTAATTGCATTATTTATATACTCTTACTATTTTTATTTGCAGTTTCAATTAGCTTTTATTTTTTTTAATATTTTCAGTTTTTAATTTAACTATAGTTTAATTTTTAGTTATTTTTGTTATGTGCTTTTGTCAATTGTATTAGTTTTTTTTTTTTAGATGTAATTTATTTTTATTTTTTATTTACAGTTAGTAATTTTAGTACTTAAACATATTTCAGTTGGTTTCCAAGACAACATAATTTGTTGAATTAGTTTATGGTTTTCATTTAATATTTATATTTTATTTCAGCTTTATTTCAATTAGCAAAAATGTTTTTTTTTTTGAAATAGTTTTAATTAATGATAATAACCCTGGATGGTGGTGATAGTGCTACTCACTTGTCGGCTTGGTATTACTGTGCTCTGCCTGCTAACAACAGCCCCGATTTGACTGCCCTTGGGCCTTGAGTGGAAATAATCACGTGAAATCTCATATGGGATTCTCTCTACAGTGCCTTCAATGCGAATCTGTTAGGATACAACAACAAAAAATACAATGGGGTCAAAAACTAAATTCAAAATGTGTTACATATTTTGTCATTTAAACTGAAATATGGAAAAGATTATCCAAAGAATTAGCTGGAGAAGATTCTGAGATCCCCAAAAAAACAAAAAAAGCTTACCTGTCTGTTTAATGGTTCCCAGTAAAATACAAGACAGGCCTGGGGATTGCTGTCCTATTTGATTGTAAAATAAATAAATAAATTTTAAAAATACAAGACGTGAAAAAGATGAGAAGGTAAACCCATAAGGTCATTTTCTAAACAAAATTTGTTTTTAAAGACTCACCAGCTCTGTACCTTTCCGACTCTCATAGTTGGTAAAGAAGCGAAATCCCTCCTCGCTGTAGCCTTTTAGAAGAACCATGCGTGCAGAGGGGCGACCATCCCTTTGGAGAAAACAAGAAGGGGAAATTTTGGGAAAAATATATGCATTATATTTAAGTTGCTCTGTTTATTTCCAAGTATTGATGAACCGCACGACATCCATTCTTACTTGGTGGCTGTTGCAAGACACATTGCATTGGCTTCTCCCACCTCAGGGCATTTAGTGGCTTGATCAAACCAGCTGCCGAATTGCTTAATTGGATCTAAAGAAGCAAGCTGATCCTCCTCAAAACACTATAGTATGAAAATGATAAATAAGAAAATTAATACATTTATCGTATATTCTTTTTAAATTACTTGGCTTTCCGTTGTGACATATATGGCAAAGTAGGTTTAAATACCCCATAACTGAACTAGTACAGTGTCCTTTACTGTGTTGTTACTGTGTTTAGCCAATAGGATCTTTAAAGGGGTCTTTACCAAATATGCTATTACTGAAACACTAAGCCATGCATAACTGATATGGAAAGCATGTTTGATGGTCAAAGGCTGTCTCATAATTGTGTTGACTCTTTTCATATCATCTTAATTAGTAAGTGATTAATGAAAGTCAAGGTCAACTGACAATGCATGCATTTTTGAAAAGGCATTTGGCAAGCACGCAATTTAGCTGCAGATAATACAGAAAAAGGCGAATAATTTAAAAGCACACTGACAAGGTTTTATACAATAATACAGAAAATGCCGGCTCTGCATATCTAGCTTTTTGATGTAAAAATCATGATATGATACTCTGTATAATGTCTTTTGAATAGGGTCTCAGGTCATGGTCATACATATACCTGGAATAAACCTAAAATATACGTGTCCCACCTCCTGATCGCTCTTATAGCTCTTTCTCATGTTACTCAGATCCATGTCGGTGCCGCTGTCAGTACAATTCCTGCAGAAAAACGAGGTAAATAACGAAGTACTGCGGACTGTCAAGGTAACGGGCTCAATAAACTTCACAATATTGCCGATGTTCCTGGACGTGCAGAAGCGCAAATAGTTAGACGTCTCATGCCTGCAACTCCAAACCTGCGTCATCACGTTCATGCTCTTACGTAAAATGTTATGAAAAGCAGTCGGTTTTGTAACTAACCTCTAATTTTTGGAATTAATTTAGGAATGAATAAAATATGAAAAATAAATACGTTAATCAAGTAATCATTAATTTGATATTCTATAATTAATTTACATTTTTAAATTACCTTAATATAAGAAAAACAACTATTTCTGTTTCGTAAAACTTTTAAAATAAAAAATATAATTGTGTGGTATTTTTTTATTATATTGTATTTTTTTTTTTTTTAACGTAGCCTTAAAGACTTTTATTTTGTAAGTACGATTCAACAAAACGGTCGAACACGCAGCGCCAGCTGAAGCTTGGGCTCTGATCCTCTGGGGTGGGTGGGGCATTACAAAATTGTATTTTATTTTTTATTTTTTTCCCTTCAGTACAGATTCATCACCCATGTCTGCAAGATATACAGTAGGTGGCGGTAATACTCCTAAGGAGTGAACGGCCGTTGAACAAAAAGAAGAAGAAGAAGAAGAACAACAACACGGTCCACGTCAAATCCGGATCAAGATGGCAGCGACCTTGTGTGGCAGGCTTTTACCGAAATCGGGTAAGATTATGGTTTGATATTATTGCAAAAAATATTATAAGTAAATAACATATATAAAAAGACAATACCTGTCATTTACAACCATGTAAATTATGAATTACATCGTAAAATTACATACACCTGAAAGCCACTATGAAGCTATTTGTGGTACTGTACAGCATAATCATCATCTATCAGAGAATATTCAATTCATATTTGAGGTACTTAATGTTATTTGGTACATCTCTTCATATTTATGTATTTTGGGTTTTCGGCAAGCCCTTTTCATGATTAAAACACCAGATGTGACGGTCTCATGATATTAGTGAATCACTTGTGGCATCCTTTACATTCATAATGTTATTTGAATAGTAATGTTTATATTCTAGCCTTAATGTTATTCTTACCAATATTTACATATTATAACCTACAGGATGGCTGCCATTAAACCAGATTGTTCGTCACGGCTCCAAAGCTGTTACTCGTCACAGAAAGCCAATGCACTTTCTCAAGCAGAAGCTGATGGCTGTCACAGAGTACATTCCCCCCACACCTGCAGCTCCTCCTGCTGCTTTGGCTCCACGAGTCAGAAAGACTGAGGAGGTCAATCATTGCTATAGCCTACCTACTGAACGCTATCTTACAAGGCTTTAAGTGTGTCATTTTAAGTGTTTAAAGGGGTCATATGATGCGATTTCAATTTTTCCTTTCTCTTTGGAGTGTTACAAGCTCTTGGTGCATAAAGAAGATCTGTAAAGTTGCAAACACTAAAGTCTCAAAACCAAAGAGATATTCTTTATAAAAGTTAAGAGTTAACCACACCCTCTTAAAACGGCTCGTTCTAACACGCCCACACATTTCTACCTCACTATGTGGGAAGATTTACATAACGCCGCCCAAATGTTCACGCAAAAAAAGAAGGCGTAACTT